TAAGCCTCTTCCAACGACAAAAAGAAAAAAAAGGATTTTACGTTGCACAATATTTACGTGGTCATGATCGTAGCCCGAGGATCGGTTGCGTGGTCGGAGTCAATGATCTGTGCACACGCAATTGCGTCGCCGTGCAAGCAAGCCACTTTCGAATGCCTTTGCGCTTCGCGAGTCGCCTCTCGTCCACCGATCTGATCGCGCCTCCGCGCTCCTCCACGCTCTTCTACGGCTGAATATATCCATAATTCCTTTCGTCTCTTGTTGTCGCGGCGAAAATATGAGAAACGAGAAGGGCGCAACATTTCGTGGATCTGATCGCGCCTCCGCGCTCCTTCACGCTCTTCTACGGCTGAATATATCCATAATTCCTTTCGTCTCTTGTTGTCGCGGCGAAAATATGAGAAACGAGAAGGGCGCAACATTTCGTGGATCGAAGCGGAGAAATGCTTCTCACGCGAAACGCTTCCACTTGTGCAACTTTGTGCACAACACGCTCGAAACAAATAGAGCGCGATTGTCTTGAGAAGCAGAGCTACAGTCGCACGATTTGGAAACGCGTGATCCGACGCTTCTTCGTAGCTGAGATAGAAATTGTTTTCGTTTTTATCTACTTTTCTTTTTCTTTCTTTTCTTTTTTTTTTTTATGATTCGAATTCGATTTCGAAATTTGTTGTCGAAAAGAAATTTTACAATTTATATCGGTTTGTCAGATAAATTTTTGTAAAATTTGTGAATCGAAATTATGTATAATACGAAGGAACGTATGTTAATCTTCCTTTGTCGATAAAATTTCTCATCTATAAATAAATAAATAAATATCAACGAAGAGATGATTCTTCTAAAGCTTGTAAATGGGTCGAGGCTGGCACAGTATCGTAATGTGAAGGAATTTAATTTAATAATAGATAAATTGGAACGTTGGAACGATCGAAGATCGAAGAATGGCGAAATTATTTGGAATTCGTTAGAAAGTATTTTTAATCAGGGGAAGCGATACGATGATCAATAATCAGAAAAGGAAATGCGGTGCATTAATTATCGAGGCTGAACCAATGATTACGTTACATCGCTTCAATTTCCTATAATATCGGTTACGCTAGTCGACGACCATGTCTTCCTCAATTATTCCTTGACTCGTCATTACTCGCGATACTCGTGATCCGTGTAATACCGAATCGAGTAAAAGTGAGAACACCAAACGGTGAATCGGAGCTCGAGGAAATTACTTCTGAATATCGGATCTCGGACATCTTGGCCTCTTGATTAATCGCGTGAAATTCCTTATTTTACTTTATACGAGTATCATCGAGAAAGAAACTAATCCGAATAGATTTATTATGCGTTAAACGAAGAATAAGATAGATGCAACGATTGAAATATTAAGAAAAGAAAATCTTTGGACAGCTTATGATCAACCCTTACCGAAACTTCTTCAATATATCCACAAAACCTTTCCAAAATTTCCACGTCCACGAAAATTTTTCGAACTCCAACCAATTTTTCCAAAATTTCTTCAATAATCATCTACACTAGATCAAATTTCAACCTTCGAAAGTCTTGCAAAAACGAACGAAACCCGAAACGAAATCGAACAACGAGAATCGGAACCGATCTCGATCGCTCGAATAACAAATAATAAAAACTTCGAAACTGCGAAAAAAAACACGAACGTATTTCCACGTGCGCACAATCGGTTTTTACAATCGACAGTCGCTTCTGCAACTCGCCACGGTGTCTAGTTAGAGAATCGCTTCCCGTTCTCCGTAGGCGCAGCCTATATCCAGGCTAACCTCCACGTAGACGTACATACGCGTATTTAGCGCGTAATTTATATAAGAAGAGAGGCACGCTTGGTTCCACCCCAAAGCACTTCGATCCACTGGCGCCACCACCACTTTTTCCTTTTTCCTCCGTGAATCGAACCTGGCCAAATATTCGTCGCCCCTTTCGCGATATCTCGACATCTCGATCTCGATTGCGCGTCGTTGGACGCGTCTCGTGTGCATCTCGAATCGTCGAGGAACGAGTCGAGGAACTCGGGGGGGCCCGGTTGGCCAATTACACGGTGGCCCAATTAAAAAGCCGCGTGTACGCCACTGCTGTGCATACACAGCAATTGTTGCGGAGAAGAGGCGTATAACTTGCAGTGTTGCATCGAACATCCTCGCGTCCGGATCGTGCGACCGTTTCGAAACAGAGCCGTCGTTCCTTTTCGCCTCCTAAAGTTGCAACCCTTTGCAACTCGTATTTTGCAACCCCTCCTCCCCTTCGTCGACGAGTTCTCTGTTCGAAGTTTCCATTTTGCGTTGGAAAAAGTGGCAGAAGAAAAAAAGAAGGAGGAGGAAATCGTTGTCCAAGTCCTCCAAAGAGGTTCTTTTTTCGGAGGACGTACGTTGGTGTTGGTGTGTACGTGGGGAGGTTGGCGTACGTGTGTACGTGAAACTAGCTTGTGAAACGAGTCGAAGGACAGCTGGATCGAGGAGAGGAAGAGAGGAGAGGGGCGAGTGTCGCGGAGGTGTCGCGAATAGAAAATTCCTGGGATTGTTGTAACGGCGAGAAGATTTCGTCTCTTCTTTTTTTCGTTGTTTTTCTTCCCCCCCGTTCGTTTTTCAACGAACGAGAGGATGGAACGATAGTCGAGTCCGTTGAAATGATATGGAAAGAGGTTTCCTGAATGAGAAACGTTATATACGTTTCGAAACGCGTGTGCCGAGGGAGGGAGGGAGGGAGGAGGAATTTAATTAAAGATCAGTTTTACATAAGTGGGAAAAATGATGGTGGCTCGTTCGAATACACGGAGGAGCGACGACCGGTGGTGTAGAAGATTATAGAGGTTGATAGGAGAGGAGACGTACGTGCGTGTATTCCCGAAACATCGTGACCGTTAACGCATTCTACGCGCACGAAGAGGATTTTTCGAGACTGATGACCCAATGCGCCCAATAGTAACTGTCTCACTGGCCTCCTAACTTCTTTAAGACGAATTGAATATGCGCGACGGTGTCGTGTCGTCGACAATTTGTCTCAAATCTTGACCGGACGTGCGTTGATTTCCAACTTGGGCTCGATCGCTTAGCCGCGATCCATCGTTCTGGAACATTTGCAATGGATGGATGCCCTTCCATCTCTATCGTTTCTTCGATTCTATCAAACTTTCCTCTCTCGAGTGATTCGACCGTCACTTTTCCGCTCGAGCTATTTACTTCGATCTGCTCCACGCTCGAGTTCTAGCAAGTTTAGGTACGGGAAATGATGAAAGTCGGGTAGCCGAGTAGAAAAATTACGTACGAAAAAATTTCAAGAGGAGAGGATGGTTTTAATAAGACACGGCATACCACGGAACGAAAACAGGGTCACCGACGTCTCTGGTTTCGACTTATGGGAGGCCACTATTCAGAGACTATTCCGAGAGCCGGGTCATGTGTGCCCAAGCTTTCTGCAAATAGAAAGAATACTAATGCACGAACGATAGAGGTCTTTAACTGTTCGTTCACCTTGAACCCTGAAGCAGTTTGCATTTCCTCGTGGCGAATAGACGCGTGAAGGGAATATAATTCAATCTCCTGTGTAATATAATCGAATCGATCGGGTCGATGTACATTTTTATTACACTTGTCTTCCTTCGATCGCAATTTAATATTCCGATTTCTTCCGATAGATAAAAAATATTATCAACCTGAAATTCAACTTTAACGTTATCTCTCGGCGATCTCTGGCTAATTTAATTATTTTTTTTTTTTTACTAATAAACAGATATTTACACGATAAAAGTAAACGGAGTAACAAGATTTACAGTTAGAAGATTAAATTAGGTAGGTGGTGCTCGATTTCCGATCAAACTCGAACGAAACGTACAAGATCAGAATCTGATAACGAGACCAGTCGAATTCGCGTGTTAAATGAAATTGGACCAACAGATAGCTGGAATTACGCGTTCCGTGGTCCGTTTGTGATTTAATTGACGTTCCCGTTACCGCAGGTTGGTTAGTTGTTAAAAATCCGCTCAACATTCCATTATCCCTGGAATGAAACCCGCCACGATTCTAAACAGGTCGTCGATCGTCCATTCCGCACGTTTTACGAGCAGCTACCACTCCTCGGGATAGAAAGTGGCGAACTGGATGACTCACGAAACCTTTCCACCACGTATCAAACGATTTTTAACGAGCCGCCGCGTAACTCGCCTGCCTCATCACGAATCGAATGGAAGGAAATTTTCGAGGAGATCGACGAGTGAACTGAAATCCCGATCTCGCGGTCGGCATCGGAGAAAAGTCGACGATTTTTTCGATTTCGATCGTCCGCCACGATTCCTTTCACGGGAGTCGCGACAAATTCTTATAAAAATCAACAACGATCATTTACTTTCGTCAAGATTCTAGAATGAATCTACGATGAAAATCAATTCGAGAACGATTCATCTTCTTCCACGCGATCGATGCTAAAACAAGAAAGAAGAAAATCGATCAAAGTCGACGATCGAACAACGATCTTCGCGGAAAGTCTATCCAAATGAGAATTAAACTCGACCAACCGCGTCCACGAGGATGGAGTCCGCGATAGCGTGCAACAGGAGAGGCGAGAGCAAGTGTACGACGCGATCGTCGACCTCGAGGAATCGGTTTTCGTCACGAAACGCGCGCTCGGAAGCTTTCCACGCCGGCCTGGAACCGTTACCCGTCCGACGCGCATTGCATAATTCCGCCGGCCCAGACCCAGATACAAATTCCGCTCCAAATTCCAGCCCAGTCGGATCGGCGGAACGCAACGTCGCCAGGCGACGAGCTTCCACTTCCGGCAACCGTGGCAATCTTCCGGACGTGGAAATAACGAGTCCACGAAATCCACTTGCCGGCCGCGAGCCCTTCTCGCGCCACACCGTTCCCCGAGACGTGGCCGTGTCTCGAACAGAGATCTTGCGGAAGTACGGGAAAGAGAAGGAAAATCCGTGGAAAATCGAGTCGAGTCGACGATGGAGCCAACGACGAATCGACTCCGCGATGGTGGAAAAGGAGGAGAGGCCCAGAACCCTGCCCTCCACGGCGAAACGATCGAGTAAGGAATGTTCCTCGAAGCCTTGCTTCCAGAGTGGGAGGAAGATCTCGAGGCAGGAGATACTGCGTCGAAGAGCGAGCGTGGACGTGCCGGTGGCTGTTATCTGCCGCGGGAGAGGAGAAGTCGAGGAGAAGGTAGAAAGTTCAGAGGTGAAAGGTGGCAACAAGCCCTCCTCCAGTTTCCCGCGAAAGAATGTCCCGCGGCCGAGAAACGACGCGGCTGGGTGGGGGGGCAAGGAGGACGAGAGAGAGTCCAAATCGGTGTGCGATTTCCTGGCAGTGACGAGCAAGCTGCAGGACATTACCCGCGGCCTTGTCCCGCGACCGTCGACCTTGCCCAAGATAATTCACGCGTCGAGATCGGCCAGGATCTCGGCCGAGGATTGGGCCAGTCCCAGGCTGGCCAAGGATGCTGTGAGAAGGGAGCCGCCCGTCTACGGAAGGATACGAAGAAGGAAGAGTTCCTTGCCTTCGAACGCGGGCACTTTGAGGGGCTCGGCGAGGGAGAGGGCGGTGGACGTCGAGTTTCGTGCATCGAGCATCGCCACGAGGCATCTTCGCGATCCTGTGCCCGACACGCTCTACCGTTCACCCGCGTCGACCAGCCCTCGCGGAAATGCGATTTACGCCAAGGTGTGTCGAAAAACGTGGAAGGGGTTGCAGAGCCAGGGTGGCAAGGCTGATTCGAAAGATAGTGGTGATAATAGGGTCGAGGGTGAGGTAGACGGGGGTAGGACCATGTCGCGGAGAAGGATCATCGAGAACACGAGGGAGAACAAGGGGGATGACTCTGTCGAGATTCAAGGGGAATCTCGGTCGGAAAGTCAGTCTTGTCGGAGCAAGGACGACGCGGCGGAGGCTCGTGGAGGAAAGAGAGAATCGAACGAGGCGGAGATCTGTAAGGATGCGGCCAGGAACGGATCGAAGTTTCAAAGCGGGTTGACGGAACGAGAGATCGGCGCGAGCAGATTGGCGGCCACTCTTCCCAGTTGTGTGAAAAGTTCGAGAAAGTGTTTGGCCGAAGCCCAGCCGAGGATCGATGGAAAATCGTCGACCGGTATCCCGACGAAACGGAACAAAGAGAGGTCGAATTACCTGAAAAAGAGCAGCCATGTCAGGGCTTACAGCGATGCCAATAGCGGCAGATCCAACTCGCCCGTGACTACGTCCTCGATTTTTGGATTTTGCACGGGGAAGAGGAAGGTTCAGTCGACCAACAGTGCTGCCAAAGTTGAAAGTGTCTCTATATGCCCAACCTGGAACGTGAAAACGGTTAGCATGGCAAAATGTTATGGATGGAAGAATATAATTCTTATGATTTTCAGTGAATAATCTTCCCTATTTGTGATTGCATTAGTGGAATTTCTTGGTGATGGTATTTGTGATATTTCTCGAAGAAGAAATTCCTCGGATATTCTAAAGATTATTCGATCCTTGTTTATAGCGAGATCGTTGGAATTTTTAATCACAAACCCTATAATATGTAGGATAGCACATATCAAATCACAAGAATTCACATGTTTCACAATTTGTACGAAGAATCCTAACGTCACAGAAGAATCCTGTTAGAATTAAAAAAAATCATACCTCTGCCTATCTTTCCTCTAATTCCAATCCACACTGTTGTTATAATATTTTTAATTCTACACCTTTCGTCCCATTCTTTTTCCAGGGTGAATTGGTGTGGTTCGACCCGGGTGTCGGCCACGTGTTGCCGGGAGAGGTGTTGGAATACCACAGGGCCGCCAATGTTCTCTCCGTGCAGGCAGTGATCGCCGGCAAGGTATGAGAAATCAATTTACCGTTCCCTCTTGTGTAGTAAAGGCGAGCGATGTTGAATGGAGAGAAACGTACGTACGAAGAGTAATGACGAGTGTGAAAATGTGGGACACATCGATCGCGCAAATTATTCTCGATTCAAAACGATCGGCCGGATAAGTTATGCAAGATCTGTGACACAACCTCGATTATGATGCGCGAAGTGAAGAATCGTTCTTTATTTCCACGCTCAAAGATGAATATTTTCTCTCTCTCTCTCTCTCTCTCTCTCTCTGTATATTCTCTTTTTTCTCTTTCTCTCTCGTCCATGAGAATAGAAATCGGATTGTTACCGTTCGGCTAGCAGACGACGTTAACCAATGAAACCGGGTTCCACACGTTATTATCTCTCGAAGGGACGGAGGAACTGGATGGAACGCGTGTTAGAGAGTAGTCAACAATACTAGTTGGCCAGTTCGAGGCCAAGGAGCAACCGGTTATTCTGCATTTCCTTAAAGTGAGCCTCGCTTCGGGCGAGGTTCTTACTATGTTTCCATTGACTTTTTGCTCGGCTAATTTGGCGCGGGAACAATGGAGAGCTGGAGGACTGTATTACCACTAGCTTCGTCACGTGGGTGGTTGAAAATGTAATTTTTAATTTTCACGCAAACAATAGCTGGTTGCAGTTCCATGTAGTTCGAGTATCGATGGAAATAAGATACGTAACGAAAAGTTTTACGATAATGGAAGATAGGATACCATCTTGATTCGGTTAATTATCATTTAGTCTCCAATTATTGTAACGATCCAGTAAAATGAAATATTCAGCGTCTTTTTGAGCAAAGCATATAATATTATAATAATCCACGAATATATTAACATCTTGTTAATATATATAATTGCTACGTGATACTAATGGCGGCAAAAGAGTGATACTTGGCTACAAGTTTCTATTGAATCTATTATCGTCACGACGACGAGGTTGAAAATATTATATTGATTCAATTTATATAATTGCTGTCCGAGATAGTTGTTACGTGGTCTGAGTTTAATTACATTGGTAAGAAAGTGATGCAAGTTGCAAAATTTATAATGACTATTACTATAACGACATAGCTGCTTAATTGATGGTTTAAAGATATTATTCTATATAATTACTATATAATTCGAGATAGGTATTATCGGTAGCAATAAAAATAAGACTCGATCGTGAAATTTATACGAATATAGAATTTCTATTACAGCAACGTTTCAATTTCGAGAACTTCATAACAACTTGTCCCAATATACTTGCACACAACATCCTGTTCCCCCTCACAGGAAGAGAATCGAGAAACGAGATTTCCACGACGCGGGATAGCCAGGATAGTCAAATGGTGCGGGTCCCGGGTAGAAAGTCGAGACGAATGCCGTGCATACCTCTCGTCGAATACCGCGAAATACTTCCGCGAAAGTGGACTGCGAGTGGAACACTATGTTGGAAAATTATCGTCCACACCGATGTATCGATCCACGCGTGAAAGTGCATATCGAAAAGGGGCAGCGTACCGGCCGCTGTTTGCGACACCTTCTTGCACTTTCAAGCTCCAAGGACAAGCTCCGTGTATTGGCAACACAATCTTGTCCCCGCGTTTTTTCCCCTTCCTCTCTTTCACTTTCGTGAATTCGTTTCGAAACCGCGCACTTCGATCTCGATTCGATTTATCCAAGATGGCTGGCCAAATTAAATCGATCCGTCCGTCTATTTTCGGCAATTCACTCGAGTTAGAGAGAAACGTACGAAGAATAAATATCTTTGCTATACGAACATTGTGAAAGTTCGCAATAACAACTGATTAACTTTCGTGCAAATAATTCTATGACAATATTTAATCGCGGGAAACTATTATCTGTCTTATTTACGATTTTACAACAAGCGGAAGAAAAGTTGAGAGCAATCGAAAATAATGGAGAAAAATTCTATTTTCAAAATTCTTCGTAGAATTTAAAGGATACGATAAATCGTAAAAATAAAATGTAGCTAAGGTAGGTATTTTGTATAAGTTTATAAACGAGGAAGATACCGTTTGCGGTAACGATATAATAATAGTCGTAAATTGTTTCACGATCTCGAAGAAACGGTTTAAATTCAAGCATTACACTCGAAGCACTAATTGCACACCCCGACTGCTCGAGAAATCATTACGTTTCCTTCTCGAGGAAAAAAAATTTCCAACCATTGTTGTCCGCGCTTGGATATTGTTTCGGTTGTCGACATGGGAGAGAAATTCATGAGTAGAGCGTAGAGAAGTTTCGATAAATCGTTACGTCAGATTATTATAAAAAAAATCGCGATTATTCTTTCGCGTTCATAATTTTTAATTCATCGGTCGAACATACCGAACCGAGACACGGTGGTATCGATTATTTTTCACCGCGTGGTCCGATTTCTCGATGCATTGTCGTGCATCAGAGTCCAGTTGTACGGTGTCCTATTATAGTTAACGATGCACACAGGCGTAGAACTGACTCGGTTTTATAATTGCGATCGTTTCATAATACGATTAATTTTACATAACGAATTTTCTTCTGAGATAACGTAAACGTGAGAAAATCGTTGTATAAATAAATATATAACGCGTCAGATATAATTCCTTGCTGCTAATTAGTTAAGAGGATTAAATCGTACGATCTCGATTGTTCGATGAAAAGTATCGAACAATCGATCGAAAATGAATATATTACATTTTTCCACAGACATCTTATCGATTATCAAAATATTTTTCTCGTTTCTTGGATCTCGAATTTTCGAGATGATATTCGCGGAAATCTTGCAACAATTCGTCAAAACGATTAACAATAAACAGACAGCCTTCTTCGTTCCATTCCACGTTTATTGAAAACGTAATTCCTATATAAACTTTCCAGATCCATTTACAGGAAAACTTTCACGCCATTTCTCTATCCTTTTAATTCATCGAATCGAATCGAATCCTCGGCTCAAACATCTCGTAACAATTATCCATAATTTCCTAAAATCGACTCGACGCAACGTTCATAACTTTCCTTATTAATCGTCGTTTAACTGGTTAAACTGGTAAACCGAGGCGCGAAAAATTTCGACTCGGTAAACGGAAAGATATCGAGCACACGAAACGAAACGCTTTCATCGTTACAGCACCATGAAGGATCGGCGAGTTCGTTAAAACTCCGGTAACGGGATCGGTCTCTGTTTATTATTGCGAGGGGGGCCAAGCCTGTTGTGCGCTTGTTGAACGTTCATACGTGTTGCTACGTTTCCCCCCCTCGTAATAAAACGCGAAACGCGGCGACGCCAATGGAATCGCAACTGCAAACTCAGGCAACCCGGTATCCGGTTAAGTCTCACGTGAGTGGCTTTCGCGTCTTATGTGAATTCGCGCGAATCTTCCTTTTTTATCGTGCATTCTCTCTGCCGGAGATCGGGTCGCAACAGTCGAGAAAATCGGGCAAAAAAAGTGGACGGAAGAACAGACCGAGAAACGTGCACGAGGATGGATGGAAACGGCCAAGTTTGGAGAGCTTCTTAGGCTTAGATAAATAATTGTGACGAACGAGGAACGTGAAGTGGATACCGTGGATGATCGTGCGCTGGTGATGGATGAAGTAAAAGATCGGCGTTCAGCTCTGTAAAATCGTCAGAAACTGGAATCAATCTTCGTTTCGAACTCGTCTTCGTTAAAAATAGGAATGGCTCGAGTGGAAAATCGTCATTTCCATAATTCTACGATCCTTTGAATCGAATTAATAATTAAAATATTATCGTCCTCGAAATTTGCCTTTTCTCCAAAAATATCGAAGCGCGAAATTATCGTTCTACGTTCTAATAAAAATTCTGATAAAAATTATTGTCTTCTTCTGAAATGTCAGTGGCCAAGCTAAAGGATCGTCGCTCCGGCAATCCTTTGCCCACGAATTATCGCCAAAAGTTGGAACCATCTTCCTCCAATTCCTCTCCAAAGTATCCAGTATCGAATTCGAACTCGAGCCGTTACACCTGTACGTCCAAGATCAAGCTCGATTCGAGGAAAGGATCGGACGGCAGACGTTCCTCGACATGCCAGTGTCACAAATTTGTCATGGACTCGGCGAGCCGCGATGTTTCTGCTCAAAAGTCAAGGTTACGCTCGAAGGAAAGTGTCTTCGGCCCCAAGGACGAGAATGCGCGTGGAGAGTTTCTCGAGGAGTGTTACAAATCGACGAAGCCGAGGAATTTGAAGCCGGCCTTCGAATACTTTCGAGAGGATGGCTCGAGCCTCGATTTGTCCCACGATCGAGAGTTTTCTCGGATCTCTCGTCCGAGGGATGATGGCGGCAGCGATGGCGACAGGTTCTCGAGGAGGCAAGGTACACGGAGGAAGACAAGAATCGTCGAGGGAACAACCTTGAGGGAAAGGATGAAGAGGACACCGGAAACCTTGGCGTATCTATGCGTTCGTGTGATCGTCGAAAATGTAATGTGGTGCGAGGAAAATCAGATCGTTTGCGAATTGCCGAAAGATTTCTTTTTTCAATTGTAAAACATCGAAAGAAACCGGATTAGAAGTATTTCGAAATTCTTGTGTTACTGATTTATCGAAGATTATATTTTATTTGGAAGAATGCATTTTTTTTTTCTTTTTGTAGATGTTTGCTTCTTCAATCAGGAGTTGGATTAGAAATTATTTTTGATTGATGTCACAGATTAAGGAGAAAATTTTTAAATTTTCAGGCCAGATTATTGAAAATTTGCTTCTTGCGTTCCATTAAGAAAATTGAAAAAAATTCGAAAATCGTGAAAATTAAAGTTCAGATTGAATCATAGAAGATTTTATTATGACGTGATGATGATTTCGTTTCAGCCCCAGATCTTCACCCTCACTAATTTAAGCGGAGTAAAGCCAAGGCAGGATCTTGGGCAAAATGGAGTCGAAGACATGATCCAATTAACGTGAGTTTTATATAATTCGTGACAATGCGTGAAAAATTAATCTCAATTAAAAAATTACAGTGACCTAAACGAAGCGTCTCTGTTATGGAACCTGAAAATAAGATACGACAAGGAATTGATATACGTGCGTATCCCTGCCTATTTCTCATTCATCTTCACTCCTTTTCCATCAACACTTTTTTGTAATCGAATTAACACTTCTCAGACTTACACGGGAAGCATCCTAGTTGCGGTGAACCCTTACAAAATGTTCGACATCTACGGATTGGACCAAGTGAAACTCTACGAAGGACGAATACTTGGCACACTGCCACCGTGAGTTACGAAAAATCTATTTAAAATTTACGAATAAATTGTAATAAAACAATCGAACGGACAGAACATAAAAAAAAATAATTCATAAAATTCAAAAACGAATTTAATCGCTAGATTCTCAATTTTTCTCCTTCACCCGACATTCTCACGCCCCCTAAAATTTTGCAATTGCAGCCATCTGTTCGCCGTGGGCTCGTCGGCGTACAGCCAAGTGACAGCCGCAAATAACGCTAGCGCGAATCAAGTGGTTGTTATTTCCGGTGAATCCGGTTCGGGAAAAACGGAATCCACGAAACTCGTAATGCAATATCTGGCGGCTGTTAACCGCGCGCCAAACAATCTTGTCACCGAGCAAATTCTCGAGGCCACGCCGTTGTTGGAAAGCTTTGGAAACGCGAAAACACCGAGGAACGACAACAGCAGCAGATTCGGCAAATATTTGGAAGTATATTTCAGAGAGTGAGTAAGAACGAAGAAACTTAATAACAAAACGATTATTCCTCCATTGTTCTCTTATCCATTTATTCCCCCCCCCCCTTCTCCCCTTCAAGGGGACGACTTTCCTCTCCGAATGCTCGCCTCGTTCACGTACGAACCTGTGTACAACATTTTGCATTTACATATTGGACACTTTTGAATTAGGCGTCCACGAGTTAAACAAAATAATCATTGTGTTTGAAAATGCATAAAGAGATATTACTAATTAAACCAAGCTAATTCATTTCTTCGAGTGTGTTTGCATTAGAAAATCAGTTTTGTCATGTAACAAGCGTAAAGAGAAATTATACAGCTTTCGTCGTAACCGATAACCGTTCTTATTAATTCGCCGATTATTTTTTTTTTTTTTCAGCGGAGTCATCGTGGGGGGAAGGATAACTCAATATCTCCTCGAAAAGAGTAGAATAGTCACGCAAGCGCCAGAAGAGAGGAACTATCACGTGTTCTACGAGCTGTTGGCCGGTCTCGATCAACAGCTGAGGGACAAATACGGATTGCTCACGCCCGACAAATACTTTTACCTCAACCAGGTTTTTTTACAAAATTTCCGAGAAAATTTCTATCAACAGAGTGCATCCCTTCGATACGCCTGGATTAATCTACGTGATTCATTCAGGGTGGAAACTGCGAGATCGACGGGAAGACCGATACCCAAGACTTCAAAGCGCTGCTCTCGGCCATGCAGGTGTTGGGATTCACTTCGGAGGAACAGGACACGATTTTCAAAATTCTGGCCAGCGTTCTCCACCTTGGCAACGTGTACTTTCACAGGAAGCAGATGAGGCATGGCCAGGAAGGGGTGGAGGTCGGTTCGGATGCGGAGATCCGTTGGGCCGCTCATCTCCTTCAGGTGAACTCGGACGGGATCATCAGAGCGCTCACGACCAAAACGACAGTGAGTGAAGAAAAATAATAAATTGGTATAGTTCGACACGAAATTTTCAATTTTATCGCAAACACGCTTCGATTCTGGATAATTCGAATTAATGTAATCGCGAAATTTGGAAGGTTTCTTGGAAGAAAAGAAAAAAAGGATCGATGTTCTAACGATACGAGACATTATTTTTGCCATTCCTTCTATTTTTTTCAAGTACTTTATCGCGTTATTATATAAGGATGGAGTTTTATACCGTAAATAAATAACGATTATTATTATCATCGATAAATCGATAACCGAATCAATAACTCGTACCCACAGGAAGCAAGAAACGAAAGAGTTTTCACTGCCTTGAACATCGACCAGGCTTTGGACGCGAGAGACGCGTTCGCCAAGGCTTTGTACAGTTCATTGTTCTCCTGGCTGGTCGCTCGTGTCAATCACATCGTCTACAAAGGGACGAAACAGACGGCCGCCATCTCGATACTCGATATATTCGGGTTCGAGAATTTCACGGAGAACAGCCTCGAGCAATTGTGCATCAATTACGCGAATGAGAATCTCCAGTTCTATTTCAACAAGCATATCTTCAAACTGGAGCAACAAGAATACGCGAAGGAAAAAATCGATTGGACGACGATTAATTATACGGTGAGAGAAAGTCCCCTCCTTGATTTAATTGGCCATCCATTTTCTTTTTCTTTTTTTTTTTTTGTCATAAACGAATCTTGATGAATTTTCGTTTGGAAAGATACGACAGCTCGTTTGAAATTGATAGGCGATTATGATTAATCGTCCGTTATTTTTTTTTCTTTGTTGATTTATAATTAGATACAAAAAGTAGTTTTTCTACACTTTCAATGTAATAAATGGAATAATTCTGAAAAAAACAGAATTTGAATTTTTATATTAACAAAATGTAATATCCTGCATTTTCAGAATTTTAGAATAGAAAGAATCGTATCGAAGAAAAAATGATTTTCACAGTAAAAATGCGGTATAAGTTTAATTACACTTGTTCACAAATCAGGATTCGTATATAATGAATAAAATGAATAAAATGAATTTGATTTTAAAAAATCAAACTTTCGATTTTTTCCTGAGATAATACGCACTTTCACCTTACATTAATTGTACACGGAATTCATTTGATATGCAGGATAACCTACCGGTGATACATCTAATCGCGAAGAAACCAGTCGGTATCCTTCATCTCCTCGACGACGAGAGCAATTTTCCCAAAGCGACGGATCTCTCCTTCTTAGAGAAATGCCATTACAATCACGCGTTGAGCGAGTTATACTCAAGACCGAGAATGAATTCCGCGGAATTCGCGATCAAGCACTACGCCGGCCAAGTTTGGTACAACGTGGAAGGTTTCTTGGACAAGAACAGGGACACGTTGAGACCGGACGTGGTGGAATTATTAATAAGCAGCAAGATATCCGTGAGTTTTTTGTCCATTTTCTTCTGTCGAGTGGAATTATTCATTCTCTCTTAAAACACTTTGTCGAAGTTTCTCAATCGTTCCACCATTCCTTTTCAGATGGTGAGCAAGATGTTCCAACACGTAAGGACGGCCCACGAAGCCAACAAGACCATGAACAAACCGAACGGCAGATTCGTCACTATGAAACCGAGAACGCCGACAGTGTCGGCTCGATTTCACGACAGTTTGCAGCAACTTTTGGATTCCATGTCTCAGTAAGAGAATCGATACGGAAATTGGCTCCGCTTATTTTCGAGAAAAATAAAAAATTGTTATTATATTAAATCGGGTATTGTAAATTAAATTTCTGTTCGTCAATTGTCGTTTTCAGATGCAATCCATGGTTCGTGCGATGCATCAAGCCGAACACGGAGAAAGCGCCAATGAAGTTCGACATGCCTTGCGTCCTCGAGCAACTAAGGTACACAGGGATGTTGGAGACGATTCGCATTCGAAAAACAGGTTACCCCGTCCGACTTCTTTTTGGACATTTCGTGGACCGATACAGGTATCTCGTGTCCACGCACTTGCCTAGAGGCGCCCCCAATAAGGAACTTTGTCGCATCATTTTGGACAAAGCTGCACCCAAGGATGCGCAAGCCCAATATCAACTTGGCCTCACCAGAGTATTCCTCAGGGAATCTTTGGAGAGGACTTTGGAATACAATAGAGCTCTGATTTTGGAAAGGGCCGCCATAACTGTTCAAAGGTATTGAGATTTAAGAAGAATTTTTATTCTTCGAGGCAAAAAGTGAAAATCGAAATTTCGAAATTTAGAAGAAAAATGTTTGAAATTTGTTGTAAAAATTGACAAATTCCAAGATCTTATTTTTATTGGAATATTATATATAAATATATATTTCATTTTTCCAATAAATTAGAATGCCTGACATTCCTATCTTTTATTATAAATTTTTGGAAAAATTAATTACTCGATTCGTTTAAATTTATTTTTAAACTTTCAATTCGAAAATAATTTTTAATCAAAGCATCTAATATAGCATCTAATTATTGCATTATTTACGCATCAGATACACAAGAGGATTCCTAGCCAGAAGAAGATTCCTGAATATTTCACGGAGCACGGTGTTGATTCAAGCTGTTTATCGTGGTTATCGCGAGAGGAAGAAGTTCAAGTCGTTGAAGAAAGGCGTACTTATGGCGCAGAAGATATACAGGGGGAAAAAACAGCGTGAGAAGTTCAAAGTATTGAAAGAGGAAATGGCAAAGAGGGCGGAGATCGAACGAGCGAGTAAAGAAAGAGCCAAGGCGAAGCAACAGAGAGAGGAGCAAGAAAGAACTTCCAGAGCCGTGGCTGGTGTTAATCATTTAGAAATTCCCGCTGAACTTGCCTTCATTTACAGCAAACTCGACGGTGCGTATCAAAAATATTAAATTTTAATCCAACCCAATAATTTTTTCAACCTTATAATTACCGTATACTTTACTTTGACTCTGTTTCACATCATATCTTTTTGCATCTTCCGCATACGTAATTTTTTAATTTTTCAACGATCAAATTATCCTAATGGATGTATCGAATCGACCGATTTGACTCATAACAATTTTTCCTATTTTACCTATAAATTAATTCAAACTTATTTTTGAACAGATTGGCAGCCAACCCACACAGAGAGAAATCTGTTAAAAGTTGTCGGTCAAGTGATACCTATGCACCACAATTACACGTTGCCGAACGACATCGATCAGCACCAATTCTCCAAATTCACCAACATTTACTTCAAAAGCCACATCTTCGGTATGAAACGGGAGCCCATAAAGACACCGTTCCTCGCGAAGGCTCGTGATCAAGATTACACGGACTCGCTGATGATCTTCAAGATGATCCTCCGCTTCATGAACGAGAACAACTTGAGCGGGAAAAGGGAGCAAGCATTGGGCGATTACATAGTGAATAAAGGGATAGTGAACGAAAAATTAAGGGACGAGATCCTTTGCCAATTGGCAAATCAAACGTGGAAGAACGAGAACGACGCGAACAAGGAGAGAGGCTGGCTGTTGTTGTCCAATTGTTTATCAGCTTTTCAACCTAGTTCTACGTTGTTCAAGTATCTTTTGAAATACGTGTCCGACCACGCGTACGACGGTTACAAGGCTTATTGCCAGAGGAAACTTTTACAAGGAGAAAGGACGATATTCAGAATAACGAGCAACAATCAGCAAATCGTTCATCACGTGCCCAGAAATTATCCCCCCTGCGTGTTGGAGTGGAGAGCGAACAGGAATCGAGTCAACATGGCTTTGAGCGTTGGATTTTACGATGGTGACTTGGATTCTTCGATTATGTGACGCTTGAGCTTAACTTTTTCCTTTTAACGTAAAAACTTCGTATCTTTCTCTTCGGAAGAAAAATTTTTCTCTCTCGAATCGATCTTTGGATCCTTGTTATTTGTTGTATGTACACGATTCCATATTTTTTTAATTAAGAAATTTCCAAAGTGAAAAGTTGGATTTGATTTGAAAATCAGATCGACTTTCTCTTTATATTATATCTTTAACGTTATCACTTTTTTATTCCACGTTTTCTAAAATTCAGCAGACTACTCGTGTTAGTCATTTTCATCGGTTCAATTCAGACAGATTTCGAAACTATAGATTTTTTCCAAAATAACAAAACTTCGATTAGAAAATTACTGTCAATCATTTTCAGGCGAAACGGTCACCTGTGCGGTGGATTCTTGGACAACCTGCGAAGAATTAGCCAACCTGGCTGTCAACAATCACGGTGTGGACAATTCTGGATGGACCATCACCCTGTGGAATCAATTGGACGGGCCAGACGCAATCGTTACAGAGACGAACGGTTTCGATTACGTGTTGGATTTGATTTCAGAGATGGAACTAGCACCGGCGTTCCCCGCCGCCAAGCACATGTTCTTGGAGCAACGGAAGAACAGTTCCACCGATCAAAAAGAGAGAGGTGAGTTGGATCGTGTCTTGCATCTCCCTCCATGGTGTAATAAAATTCTCTCCCCGGTTTAATTTAGCACGCGCACATAATTCGTGAGCTGGAACAAGAAATAGAACCACCGGTTCTGAAAACGTTCCAGCCCCTTGAGCGGAAACCAGTATCCAAGGTTGTGGATAAACCCGTCGAACCGGAAATTCAATCGCCGAGGAGACCTGCCGTCCCTCCGCCTCAACCACCTGTGACCAAGCCATCGGTAATTCTAAAATTAATTTCGAAAAGAATTTTCCATTTTTTCTCGACGAAGAAAGTTTGTTCTTTGAAAAATTAGCGACGGAATTTGAATTTTAGATTGAAAAAAAATTTAATGATTACAGTTTAAATTTTGAAGAGATATCGTTCGTTTCGAAGAATATTTTCGAAGAAGATAAATAGAATTACCTTCAGTTTTTTGATTATCAATCCTCTGCTCTTTCGTACAAATACAAAGATAATTATTTCGAATATCTTCACTTTTAGGTAAGGAAACAATCTCACGAGGCAATATTGGAAAGCACAACAGAGACTGGCCTATCTCGAAAATCAGCTTTGAACGACAGATACTTCGAGAAAGAGAAGCAACGTAGTCGCAGCTTGGACAACTTGTTGCAACCAGAAGTGGTGTCACCTCCGGTCAAACTGGCCAATCTTGGATTATCTTCGTCCAAATTGAACGAGCGTTATCACAGTCTTGAAAGGATTGGCGAAACATCGGCTGTCAGCAACGTGGAGTACATGACAAGGAATGAAATAACTCAGGAGAGAAAGTATAGCAGGATAACCAGGACCACGGAGCCAAACATCGAAGAGGAAGATCTGACCATCGACTTTGAGTATCCCGATATCCAATCGGTTAGTCAAACCGGAAGGTCTGAAGATGACAAGAGCAGTTACATCAGATCGCAGACTAGATTCATCAAATCTCAATATCCCGGTGAGCAATGTCAAACTGATTCTTACGTTCTTTCAGATCAATCCACTTCCCTCTACTCACTCAACAGCAAAACATAAGATTTATTAACATAAGTTCTTTGCATAACCAAATGCATTTCTTTCGTAAAGGCAAACGAGCATTGCCAGGCAGCCAATCAAGCCGCGCCTACATCGAGAAGAGCGAATACGGCGTGAAATCCTCGGCCATGTCTGACACGAGCGAAGCTCCTTCCCTGGCCTCTCACGTGAGACGGGTCAGGGTGCCTAGTCAAGCTTCGGACGTGGATCAGTTCCTGGACGAATTGTTCATGCCGGTTCTGGATGGAAATTTGGACGAGTTGTCGGACGCGAGAAGCCTCGCGGCCAGTATCAAAGGTACGAAGGACGACAGGTGCCAGAGTGGTGCCATAATCGTCGAGAAGGGATTCGAGGATGGTGTGGAAACCGTGGAACAATTCATCGAAAGCGTGACGAAGGGGGGGAAAAGCGAGGAAGGAGGGATCACAGCGAGAGAATTGTCAAAGAGGATCAAAGGTGGTGGGAACATGGACATACCTAATCAGAACGCGACATTTAACTTTGGTGCCATTACGCCGGGGATGATGTCACCCCCCATGATGATGCCAATGTTCAGCACACCTCAACAAGTGCCTGCTGCTCAAAGCACGAGCATGAACATGGGTCCTGGCTTCATGCCCATACCGATTTACAGTATGCAAGGGTTGAGTCTCCCTCAGTACCCTAATTCGCCCCCTAATCAGAGCAACGACATGATGGCTTACCAGCAGAACTTGCAACGAGCCTTCCTTCAGAGTGCCATGGCCCAGAATATACAGATTCAGCAGCAATTGCTGGCCCAGAATCAGGCTCTTCAACAACTGCTCGTGCAGAGCCCGCAAAACTCGTCGCAACAACCGGTGAGAAATTATTTCGACGCTTGATTAATAAATAAAGTGACAATGATGTGGGACACGAGAATTTTCGATTATTTTCTGGGATAATTGAACTATTTTATATATTTATGAAATTGAATAAATGATTAATCGTAGCAAGAGTGTGAATATTTATGTATTTATTGGAAATTTAAAGCTAAACGTATCGAAATATTTCTGGGTTGTGATAAATAAATGAGGCTATTGTTTCCGTATCGAAAAACGAGACAAATATACGAATAATTATAAAGTTATAGAAATATATTTAAGTGTTAAATGAAAATCTAGAGAATGCATAAAAATATTTAAAATTGAAATATAATTCTATTTCACAAGTTTCACAAAAATTTCCACATATTTGCATAAAAATTTCTATTAAAAAAATTAATTTCAATTAAGTTTGATTTATAAACTATCCAATTAGTCCAGGACTTCGACTTGATCAATTCGAAAAAACAAGGATATCAATTCCCTAATTAAAAAATTAATTTTATTACGTTTCTCGTACGAAAATGATAATTCAATCTTGTCCCAGAAGATTAATCGTAAAAATGAAAAAGAAGATGGAATACAATCACGACACGTGTACAAAACAAGACCCATTACTCGATACTCGATCAAATTCCTTATACGTAATTTACACGCGTAATTTTACCTGGTCGCACAATAATACGGACATGTCGTAACAATTAAATAAACCGAGAATTGCATGTTAAATGTCATCTCACAACGGATACGCCGTCATTTTCGTGCGTCACTTTCACGATCACATTATAACTAAATGACTAACACGATCGATACGAACACTGTACGAAACTGTATGTGTGACAGTGTTGGCGATCATCTAAAGAATAGCAAAAAAAAATATATATATATATATATATTTATATATATCACGTCCATTTTGGACGATCCTGTGGGCTTCTTAGCCGCATCGCGGCGTGGGTGTGTGTTTCCAGGGCACGGCGTTGTCCGCAGGCCCCTCCAGTATGAATCTTGTCCCCCCAGCCCCCCAAAACGGTGCCCAAATGGGGCCCAATGATTCCATTGGACGCTACTCCAAGGTATCTCTAATGATATTCATCTAACGAATAAAATCTGTCGATCGATAACTTGGATGATAATTAATACGATTTATTTGATACGAGGTATGGAAAGAAAATTTGTGGAAATTTCTTTTTTTTTTTTTGTTTATTGCAAAAATTCGTTATATTATTAGTTCAAATTTTATTATAAACATGAAGAATTTTGATATTATAATCGTGAAATGTTTAATTAATACTAGAGAAAATTATTACCAATAGAAATAAAAAAACGAACTTTCCACAAACTTTTTTTTCGACTTAACGTCGAAATTAAAGAATTCATTAAATTTTGATTGAAAAATTGTCTGTAATTTTTTTTAAGAGGGAAAATTTAAAATCGATCGATCCTTATTCTCTCTTTCTCTCCAAAGTTTCACAACAGCTTTCAAAGATCGACAATTTTTCAATCCAATTTATTTAATTTTGGCGTTGAAATCTCTGGATCACGTTGTAACACGCTATGCTGAATAAAATATTAATTGGTTATGGGAAAGATTCGCAATATCGAGTTGTACAGTGGTGTGGAATGTGGGTGTTCGAGAGGCACTCGTTGATCGAATACTTTGATAACAGAAGAACGATCAATTACGAGGTTGAATAATTCTTTAACTGGATAACGACTCGTCAATTTATACGAAGATTAATCTGTGTAATTACCGTGTTTATATTAGAAGGTCGTATCGAACTGAAATAACGATGAAATCATTTTCGTTCATTCACTTTGCATTCACTTTTCTCATATAAAACAATT